GGGTCACAGCCAGTCGTTACCGGCTATGTCCGGCTATGTCCCGGCGATCGGCGGCAAGTGCTGACAGAGAGCACAGCTGTGCTTTCTGTCAGTTCCCTGACAGCTCGAGGACACGCTGATCAGGACAGAAGAGTTTCTCTCTTACACGGTGTTACTGCAGTACACAGTAAAATCACACAGTTAATACTTTCCCTGAATAATAAACTTAACCCCTTCCTCCCCAGTGCCATAAGTACAGTGTCAGTGTTTTTTTTTTTGCACTGATCACTGTATTGGTGTCACTGGGGATGTCAGTGACCCCAAGTCAGTACCCCCCAATGTCAGAATGTCCGCCGCAGTCCCGCCATAAGTCGCTGATCGCCGCCATTATTAGTATAAAAAAAAAAATAAAAATCCCAGTATCTTTCCCGCCATTTGTAAACGCTATAACTTTCACGTAAACCAATTAATTTACACGTATCGGGATTTTTTTTAGCAAAGACATGTCGCAGAATGCATTTTGGCAGAAATTTATGACTAAATTTGATTTTTAAATTTTTTTTTACTGGACATGTTTTATAGCAAAAAGTCCAAAATATTGTTTTTTTTTCCTCAAAATTGTCAGCCTTTTTTTTTTTATAGCGCAAAAAATAAAAACCTCACAGGCGATCAAATACCACCAAAAGAAAGCTCAATTTGTGGGAAAAAAAAGGATGTAAATTTCATATATGTAGCATATTGCATGACCGCGCAATTGTCCATTAAACTAGCGCAGCGCTGTATAGCAGAAAAATGGCGTAAATTGCAGTATCTATCCCATAGTTTGTAGACGCTATAACTTCACACAAAGCAATCAATATACACTTATTGGGATTTTTTTTTACCAAAAACATGGAGCAGAATACATTTTGGCCTAAATTTATAACCAACTTTGAGTTTACTATATATTTTTTATAGCTGAAAGTAAAAAATATTGTTTTTCTTCTTCAAAATTTTTGGCCTTTTTTTGTTTATAGCGTGAAAAATGAAAAGCGCACAGGTGATCAAATACCACCGAAAGAAAGCTCTATTTGTGTGAAAAAAAAAAGGCCGTAAATTTCGTTTGGGTGCAGCGTTGCATGACCGCGCAATTATCAGTTGAATTAGTGCAGCGCCGAGTAGAAAAAAGAGGCGTGGTCATCAAGGGGGGTAAATCCTCTGGAGGGCGAGGGGTTAAATCTACAATATGGGGCCAAGAGTACAGTTGTGCTCAAAACTTGGTCTCTCCTTTGAGAATTGGTAATATCCAGGATGGACCATTTGTAAAGAAAACACGAGTGAGCCGGCAAAACCCTTTTCTTGTATTTCTTATGGGATTCATATTCTGTAACTGGAAGTGATAACAGAATGGGCCAATCATGAAACAAAACATGGCAACAAGTAAACCAATGGAATGCCCCCCCCCCCTGTTCAAAAGTCCCCTTAGTTCTTAATCCTGTGTATCGCCCCCTTTATCACCCGATGACAGCGGTCAGTCTTCTGTCTGAGGCCCCCGAATTTCTGCAGATAGTAGAGCTGCCCATTTGTCTCTTCAAAAATGTCTCCAGGTCATGCTAAGTCTTTGGTCATCTTGCATGAACGACACGTTGGAGTTCTCACCAGAGCGGCTCGATGATATGGAGGTCAGCAGACTTTGATGGCCACTCCAGAACCTTCACCTTTTTTCTGCTGTAACCACTGGAGGGTCAACTTGGTTTTGTGCTTAGGACCATTATCATGGTGGAAAGTCCCATGCACCGCTTTTATGCAAATTGTCTGCCAGTATTTTCTGATAGTATTTTCTGATACTCCCCAAACCCCACCCCCCATTGACTTCTACATCACATCCAACAACGCCAATATCAAACCCGCTCTGCAGGCCAGAGTACTTGGTGTCATTCTGGACTCCAACCTATCCTTCCAGCCCCAAGTCCAATCTTTAACAAACTCATGCAGACTCCACCTCCGCAACATGCAGACTCCGCCTCCGCAACATGCAGACTCCACCTCCGCAACATCGCCAAAATCCGCACGTTCCTAACCCCAGAAACCACTAAACAGCTCATCCACTCCCTCATCATATCACGACTCGACTACTGCAACTCCCTCCTCACTGGCCTGCCTCACCGCTGGCTATCCCCGCTTCAGTCCATCCTGAATACGGCTGCCAGACTCATTCACCTTTCCAACCGCTCCATCTCCGCCACCCCCCTCTGCCAATCCCTCCACTGGCAGTGTCCCGATTCGCCAATCCCTCCACGGATTCAAATTTAAAATCCTAACACTGACGTACAAAGCTGTCCACCATACTGCCCCGAACTACGTCACTGACCTAATATCCAAGTACCACCCAACACGCACACTCCGCTCCTCACAAGACCTCCTTCTCTCTAGTTCCCTGGTCTCCTCCTCCCATGCCCGCCTCCAGGACTTCTCCAGGGTGTCACCCATCCTCTGGAACTCCCTGCCCCAACCCATCAGATTATCACCTACTCTCCTCTCCTTTAGGCGCACCCTGAAAACCCATCTCTTCAGGGAAGCCTACCTCACCCCCTGCTAACTTGCTGACCTCCTCCACTCTTCCTACCACTTCATCCCCCACAGCTATCTCCTCCTGTGCCACCACCCCATCCCTTCTAGATTGTAAGCTCGAAAGAGCAGGGCCCTCAATCCCCTCATGTTTTGCATTGTATTGGTATTGTTCTGTCACATGTTCTGTCCCCCTCTGTAATGTACAGCGCTGAGCGAACTATTGGCGCTTTATAAATACTGTATAATAATAATAATAATAATATGCTGCATTCATCTTGCCATCAAATTTTACAAGATTTCTCACACACCCCTAAAACATTAGTGAGCCATTGAGAAGCGCACCAACCTTGCGTTTCGTGTGACATACACGTTTTCAAAACGTTGAAAACGTGTATGTCACACGAAACGCGTCAGGGAGGTGCCCCCCAACTGTCTGGGCATATTATATAGCTGCCCTATGGTTCCTGCTTTTTGAATTTCTGTAAGTGTGTTTTTTATTCATTTTGAAATTACTGCACAAATAAATACCTACTACTACACTATCAAAGCTTCTGGCCTGTGGCTCTCTTATTATGGAGGGAGCCCGGGCTTTTTGAAGGTGCTCGATTCTTCCTGGCTTTCTGCGGGTTGCTGACTGATGTGCTGGATAAATCCCTCCGTTGGCTGATGTACACCTCTGGGATCTCTGTCCTGGGAACATGACATCTAGTGGCGAGAGATAAGATGACATCAACCTTTCCAGTGGCTTCCTTTTCAGAGCACCAGAGTAGGTCTTAATTACTCCATGCTCCATGTGCTGAGACATCTGGTTAGTGCAAGCTATTCTCAGTTCTTTATCACAAGAGTCACAAACTTTTTCCGGTTTTCTCAACCTCGGATGCACCACAGAAGTCACAAGTTCAATATTTTAATGTTTTATTTTAACCATAAATCTTTGATTTTTTGATTCATGCGATTATAATACTATCTGGGATATGAGCGCTGCATATTTTATGGTCAATTTACTATCCGACGTTCTCGAGTTTTACTTCCTATGCTAGCTGCTTGTTTTATTTATTCATTTATTTATCTTTCCTCCTATTAATTTTTTAGACACCTAGCACTGTTGCACTTTATTCTATCTAATAAATTTTGGTTACTGAGGTAATGCGCAAGGTTGGTGCGCTTCTCGTTTTCATTTCGTTCTGCAGTATTGGTCGGGCTTCCCCAGCCTTGTTAGGAGCCCGCACAACCCTACATGCATTGTTGGTCGATTTTTCCAGGTCTGGTTTCATCCATTCGCCACCCGTCTGGGTCCTAGAGCGCAGGAGAATTCGTTTTTGATATTAGTGAGCCATCACCATGCTTCACAGTGTTGATGATATTCGTGTCGCTATAGGCCTTGTTGACCCCTCTCCTAACATAGCGAACATGTGGACACCTGACCATAAATCTTTAATATGGGGCCTAGAGTATGTGTTCACCTGACCGTTCAATATACAGTGTTGGGCCAGGGAGTGGACACCTGAACATTAAATCTATTCTATGAGGCCAAGAGTATGTGAGCATCTGACCATTAAATCTACATACAGGGTCCAAAGTATGTGGAAACCTGACCATTAAATCCATACTGTGGGGCCAAGAGGATGTGAACACCTAACCATTAAACCTGTAATATAAGACCAATAGAATATGGGCACCTGACCACTGAATCTATACTATGGAGGCCAAGAGTAGGTGGGTACCTGACCACTGAATCTATACTATGGGGGCCAAGAGTAGGTGGGTACCTGACTATACTATGGAGGCCAAGAGTAGGTGGGCACCTGACCACTGAATCTATACTATGGAGGCCAAGAGTAGGTGGGCACCTGACCACTGAATCTATACTATGGGGGCCAAGAGTAGGTGGGCACCTGACCACTGAATCTATACTATGGGGGCCAAGAGTAGGTGGGCACCTGACCACTGAATCTATACTATGGGGGGCCAAGAGTAGGTGGGCACCTGACCACTGAATCTATACTATGGGGGCCAAAGTAGTAGGTGGGTACCTGACTATTGAATCTATACTATGGGGGCCAAGAGTAGGTGGGCCCCCTTACAAATGACAGTGTCCTGGTGTCTTCGGTTAAGGGTATTGTGAATATTACAGCATTGAAAGACATTGTAGACCGTTATGCTCTTCCAACTCGAGTCTCCTGTGCAGATCCCTGACCTCATCCCTATTGAACACCTTTGTGAGTATTGGAATGTTGACTGTAAGACCGCTCTTCTCATCCAACATCAGTACCTGAGCTCACAAATGGTTCAAACTCCTACAGACACCCTCCAGAATCTTGTGGATAGTCTTCCTAGAAGAGTGGAGGATGTTTATAGTTATAAAGGGGCAACTCCATATTATTGGTCCTGGTTTTTTTAAAGGGATGGAAACACTCTTACATAGGTGTGATGGTCAGGTGACCACAATTTTTGAAATTTACACACATGGTTTAACCACTTCCCATCTGCCCATGTACATAAATGGCCGGCCGGGAGCAGTGCAGGAGCGGCTAGCCCTTTATAAATGTCCTCCTGCATTCACTGCCTGTGCGCGCTCCCTGGGTTTGCGTGTAGCACTGCGATCCGTGTACTCCGGACAAAGCGGAACACCGATCGCTGTCCCTCTGTGTGAGGTCACGATTCATGTATCACAGATTAGGCTGATCACATGAATAGGTCAGATGAAACTTCCTGACATCATTGCTTACTACTTGTGAATTCTGTGAATGATCACAGAGATCACATGGTACAGGAATCGCTGTATGGGACCTCTGTGTGAGGTCCTGATCATGTGATCACTGATTGGCCAATCCGTGATCACATGAATAGTAGTAAGCAAGATGTCACTTCTGACATCATTGCTTGCAACTTGTGAAATCTGCGAATGATCACAGACATCACATGGTACAAGGCTATTCACAACAGCCTTGTACCATGTGACAAGCTGTGACCAATCACAGCTCTCACAGTATTTCTCAATGGCTGCAGGAATGCAGCCAGAGAGAAGGAGAAATGATTGCTTTTACAGCCTTTATGGGTATAAAAAGCAATCGGTGTAAAAAAAAAGGAAAAAAAAAAAATCATCACCCCCCCACAAGTAGTACAGTGTCACTATGGTGACACTGTACTGCTATGGTGATCGTATGTTAAAAGAAAAAAAAAACATAAATAATATAAACAAAATGTAAAAAATTATAATTTTTGGTTATAAACTAATTTGGGTTATTTTTTTTTTTTTTTTTTTTTACTAAAAAGATAGTTGAGTACATTTTGGCCAAGATTTATGTAGAAAGATTGTTTATTTGCAAAATTTTATAAGAAAAACACTTTTTTTTATCATTTATATAGCAAAAAAATAAAAATCCCAGCAGTGAATAAATACCACTAAAATAAAGTTTTATCTCTCAAAAAAATGCTAAAAAATTCATTTGGGTACAGTGTTGCATGACTGCGCAATTGTCATTCAAAGTGTGACAGCGCTGAAAGCTGAAAAATTGGCCTGGACAGGAAGGGGGGGGGGAAAGTGTCCGGACAGGAAGGGGGGGAAAGTGTCCGGACAGGAAGGGGGTGAAAGTGTCCGGACAGGAAGGGGGGAAAGTGTCCGGACTGGAAGGGGGGGGAAAGTGTCTGGACTGGAAGGGGGGGGAAAGTGTCTGGACTGGAAGGGGGGAAAGTGTCCGGACTGGAAGGGGGGAAAGTGTCCGGACTGGAAGGGGGGGGAAAGTGTCCGGACTGGAAGGGGGGGGGAAAGTGTCCGGACTGGAAGGGGGTGAAAGTGTGTGGACTGAAAGGGGGGGAAAGTGTCCGGACTGGAAGGGGGGAAAGTGTCCGGACTGGAAGGGGGGGAAAGTGTCCGGACTGGAAGGGGGGAAAGTGTCGTCCGGACTGGAAGGGGGGAAAGTGTCCGGACTGGAAGGAGGTGAAAAAGTGTCCGGACAGGAATGGGGGTGAAAGTGTCCGGACTGGAAGGAGGTGAAAAAAGTGTCCGGACTGGAAGGGGATGAAAGTGTCCGGACTGGAAGGGGGGAAAGTGTCCGGACTGGAAGGGGGGGGAAAGTGTCCGGACTGGAAGGGGGGGAAAGTGTCCGGACTGGAAGGGGGTGAAAGTGTCCGGACAGGAAATGGGGTGAAAGTGTCCGGACTGGAAGGAGGTGAAAAAGCGTCCGGACTGGAAGGGGGGGAAAGTGTCCGGACTGGAAGGGGGTAAAAGTGTCCGGACTGGAAGGGGGTAAAAGTGTCCGGACTGGAAGGGGGTAAAAGTGTCCGGACTGAAAGGGGGTGGAAAGTGTCCGGACTGGAAGGGGGGGAAAGTGTCCGGACAGGAAGGGGGTGAAAGCGTCCAGACTTGAAGGGGGGGAAAGTGTCCGGACTGGAAGTGGGTTTAAACTGCGTGAGAACAGAGGCCCCTCTATCCATGGATCTCTGTTTGGGGTTTCAGTCAGAGACACAGAGGGGAATTTACTAAGACTGAAGCATTTAGAATGTGTAGCAGTTGTGCATGGCAACCAATCAACTAATATCTTTCATTTCTAAATCTAGGCTGAAGATAGAAGCTGATTGGCGGTTGCCATGCACAGCTGATGCAGATTCTGTTTGCTCCAGTATTAGTAAATTCCCTCAAAGCGTCTGAAAGGAGATAGTTAGGGGTAAATCCCCCCGCTTTTAAAGTAATCACATTTTGTTGGTTTGCAGCCTGAAATGAAGACAGACACTATTTTTGTTTTAGCCAGCTGCATTGCAGCTTATAACTTCCAAGTGAAAGATAAAAACACCAACATGTCAGAAAAAGAAAAAAATCAAAAACAAAATTGCTGAGTTGGAAAAAGGATCTCCCTTGTGTCAGTATTTTGTTGAACCCCCTTTTGCTTTAATTCCAGCCTTCAGTCTGTTGGGATTTGTCTCTACTAAGTTTGCACATCTAGACTTTGCAATATTTGCCGCTCATTTTTGCAGAACGGCTCAAGTTCAGTGACATTTGATGGTGACCGTTTTGTGGACTGCAGGCTTCAAGTCATTCCAGAGATTTTCAGTGTGGGTTCAAGTCTGCGCTCTGACTAGGCCATGAAAGGACATTCACCTTTTTCTCCCCCAACCCCCTGTGAGCTCATTTTTGCTGGTGGTTCGGGTCATTGTCATGTTGGAAGGTAAACCTTCTTCCCATTGACATCTTTCTGGCAGAGGGCAGCAGATTTTCCTCCAGAATGTGATGATATTTTGCCCCATCCATGATTCCTTCTATCCTGACAAGTGCTCCAGTCCCGGATGCAGGGACAGTATGAGGATGCAGGGAACCCCCCAATAACAGGATTCCCACCTCCATGCTTTACTGTAGGAATGGTGGAATTTGGATGGTGAATTGATTTGGATTTCCGCCAGACATATCGTTTAGTGTTGAGGCCAAATCATTCCATTTTAGTCCCATCTGACCAGAACCCCTTTCTCCAGATCATGTAGGTTGTGAGGTGGGTCCTCCATTGTTTTCCCAGCACATCCCACAGATGCTTGAGTTGAGGTCAACACCTCAAACCCATCATGCTCCTCAAACTATTCTTGAATGTCTCAGACCAGGCCACCTTCTTCCATTGCTGCGTGGTCCAGTTCTGATGCTCACGTGCCCATTGTACACACTTTTGGCTGTGGACATGGGACAGTATGAGGATGCAGGGAACCCCCCAATAACAGGATTCCCACCTCCATGCTTTACTGTAGGAATGGTGGAATTTGGATGGTGAACTGATTTGGATTTCCGCCAGACATATCGTTTAGTGTTGAGGCCAAATCATTCCATTTTAGTCCCATCTGACCAGAACCCCTTTCTCCAGATCATGTAGGTTGTGAGGTGGGTCCTCCATTGTTTTCCCAGCACATCCCACAGATGCTTGAGTTGAGGTCAACACCTCAAACCCATCATGCTCCTCAAACTATTCTTGAATTCCTCAGACCAGGCCACCTTCTTCCATTGCTGCGTGGTCCAGTTCTGATGCTCACATGCCCATTGTACACACTTTTGGCTGTGGACATGGGACAGTATGAGGATGCAGGGAACACCCCATAACAGGATTCCCACCTCCATGCTTTACTGTAGGAATGGTGGAATTTGGATGGTGAACTGGGTTGGATTTCCGCCAGACATATCGTTTAGTGTTGAGGCCAAATCATTCCATTTTAGTCCCATCTGACCAGAACCCCTTTCTCTATGTGGTTTCAGAATCTTCAAGGTGCATCATTTTGGTAAAGCTCAGTGATGACTGCACGCGGCCTTTTTTGAGAAGCGGCTTTTTTCTTGCACCCTCCCACCCCCATACAAGCCACATTTGTGAAGGATTTGTGATCTTGTCACATGCACACAATGACCTCTCTTTGTCATCAATTCCTGACACGGCTTCAGAGTTGCTGTAGGCCTCTTGGTAGCCTCTCTGACCGCTTTCCTCCTGGCTCTTTCAACCAGTTTTGGAGCGACGCCCTGATCCAGGGAGGGTGTGTGTTGTACCAAATACTTTCCACTTCTTCATAATAGGCTTCGCTCTGCTTCAAGGCATTGATAAAGCCTTTGACATCTTTTTGTATCCATCTCCTGACTTGTGCATGTCCACAGCTTTATCCTGGAGATCCCGGTGACAGTGCCTTGCCACCCATAGTTGATTGTTTGCTTCAGTTGCACTTACAGGGACTGAAATGCTCCAGGAAAGCTCTTTTTATACTGAGCTAACCAAAATGACCACAGCTGATCACATTTGAAAGTCAAATGGCTTTGTGTGCCATTGGAAAGATAATTAGCTACATCTAATTGAGTTTATTAAGTCATTTTGGGGAGGGGGGGGGGGGGGGGGGCAATCCAACTCAGTGATTCAGTTTTTCAACGTTTTTATATTTTTTTTCTGACATCAGGTTGTTACATCTCTAACTTGGATGTTATAAGGTGCACTGAGTAAATACAACTGGATAAAACAAAAACTGTGCCTGTCTTCAGTTCAGGCTGCAAAGCAACAAAATGTGAATATTGTAAAGGGGGGGGGGGGGTCAATCTTTTCTATACCCACTGTATGTACATAACATTTTGACAGGCTATCTTAACCCGTCGGGGCACGGACTCCACTAAAACTCTGAATGTACGCTGTGGTATCTGGCACCAAGCCCTCAGTAGCAGATCCTGTAGGTTGTGAGGTGGGGCCTCCATTGTTTTCCCAGCACATCCCACAGATGCTTGCTTGATGAGTTGAGGTCAACACCTCAAACCCGTCATGTTCCTCAAACTATTCTTGAATTCATCAGACCAGGCCACCTTCTTCCATTGCTGCGTGGTCCAGTTCTGATGCTCACATGCCCATTGTACACACTTTTGGCTGTGGACATGGGACAGTATGAGTACCCTGACCGGTCTGCGGCTACACCGCCCTATACACAACAAACTGCGATGCTCTGTGTGTCCTGACACCTTTCTATCAGAACCAGCATGGACTTTTCCAGGAACTTGAGCTCCAGTAGCTCTTCTGTTGGATCAGACTTCTGTTGGATCCCCAACTCGTCATGTTCATCAAACTATTCTTGAATTCGTCAGACAAGGCCACCTTCTTCCATTGCTCTGTGGTCCAGTTCTGATGCTCACGTGCCCATTGTAGGCACTTTTGGCTGTGGACACGGGTCAGCATGGGTACCCTGACCGGTCTGCGGCTACACATCCCCATACACAACAAACTCCGATGCTCTGTGTGTTCTAACACCTTTCTATCACAACCAGCATGGACCTTTCCAGCAATTTGAGTTCCAGTAGCTCTTCTGTTGGATCAGACTACATGGGCCAGCCTCCCCTCCCTCCCCACCTCCATCAATGAGCCTTGGCCACCCATGACCCAGCATGGTGGATCACAGCAGGACAATGCTAGATCCATTGGTCAGGTGAGTATGTGAATTGA